TCGGGTGTGTTGAAGACCCACTGCCAGTTAGATGATGTCATTATTTTGTAATAACCTGATAAGCTTGGGGGCGTAGTATTGCGATAGACTGAACAGTTTCATATTTGTTTTCACCCACCCCGTCAAATTGCTACACACAGCAACACCTTGTTTTCTGATATTCTTAACCATGCAGGTTTTCTCCTGACTCAAAACAAGCCATTTAACCACAACTGATCCGCTTTGATAGTTTGTGTTACTGTAAGTAACAGAAACAATTTAGCTTGAGTAAAACGAAAGATCCAGTTTGAAGGAAAATATGATTAAAACTGTTGCTAATACAGTCCAGGTGATTTTCCTTTGGTGGAGGCCCAAACAAAGCTTAGGCAGGAACCAAACATTTTTAATAAGCAGGAACAACATTGCACATTTATAATAACGCCAAAAAGTCCATCTGTTAAAGCAATACATTTCCTATACCAAAAACATGTTTTCATTGTCTTTTTTGTGGACTCTCCCATCTGCATTTATCTGACAGACAAGCCTGCCATCCATGCGTAATTGGGAACATTTTTTCCTCGCTAATCAGCGGGTGAAAGAGGAACAAAGACTCGACTCACGTCACCTTCAGGAGAAAGAGTGGTAACTGCGTCAGTTAAAAACGCCTCAGGCACAACAACTGGGTTTCAGCCCAATTAGTTTTGTATGGGTATCTTTACGTGTACTTTTACATGAGTCTGCATGTACTTCTACACAAATACTTTAATATACACATGGCTGTAGACACTGAATTTTCATTAAATGTTTGGATTATAAAATATAATGAACAACCAATTTTACCAAATTTAACAGTATGCCAGAGAGAGAAAGAAAAGCATATGCACACTTGTAACAAACCTTAAAATAAAATATATTAAAGCTTATTAGACGTTTTGTACTTTCTGACGGCAACCGATATGATCATACACTTTGTGGATCATAGTTTATTTTCCCATTATGGTTTTAATAGCCTTTGTTCAACTTGCTACAGGTTTACTTGTCAGTTCAGCACCAAGCCCGTGCAGAGCTGCAGTGCAGCTGTAATCTGTACCTCTTTCCTGGCTCCATGTTTGAGGGGATGGAGGGTGAGCACGGTCTCACCGGGCTCGGTTCCGACCTGAGATGCGGGTCTGTGACCAGTCGAGGCCGTCAGGGTGTTGTTGTTGCTGTGGTGGTGGTGGTGGTCCGACAGGCGGCTGTTGGGGCAGTTTCTCGGGGGTTTGTGGTGGTGCAGCGGCGCTGCGTTCCGCAGCTTCCTTCCGCCTTTCTTCAGCAGAACCTGCTTCGTTTTGTTCGTCACATCGCTGCTGGAAATCAGCGATATCGGGTTGTTATTTTCGACGTTGCCGATGTTGGCTTCATCGCCATGAGCGGTAGATCCGTCCAACATGTCTCTGAAGTGGCGAAAACATAAACAGGCTGTCTAATTCCTCCGCGGCTGTTGTTTTAGCTAACAACGTCACAGGCTAACAGTTAGCTACCAATTAGCTAAGTGGATAATTCGCTTTCCTTTTTTCGAGCTGCCCTCACACAGAAAACAAATACTTAACGAATTTAACGTTAAAGTATATCAACGGAAGCTCCAGTGTGGAAACTTAAAAGGTTTTTTTCAGTTATTGCTGCCGCTAAACAATGGATGACGCGTCGTGCAAAATGAGCCTGTCAAAGCAGAAGTGGCAGAGAGCTTAAGTTACCATAATAAAATACGTCACTTCCGGTAGAACCTTTCAAAGCAAAACGAAACTGTGCATCCGTCAAAGTACAAAATGGCATTCAGACTCAAACGAGAATTTCTGCGAGAAAGGTTTGATTTTTGACCCTTAACGTATACACCCCACCCTAATTTATTAATAATGAAATGATGAAATTAATATTTTAACCAAAAAATCTAATAACATTGGTAACCCATATAAAATACAATATTAATTAAATAATTAAGTATCAGCATTTAATAACACTTGGAAAAGTCAGAACGGTAGAAATCATAACATAAGGTGACATGGAGTGCAGATATTGGTATATTTTG